TTCCCAGGGCCCTATTCTTCCCTGAACTCGGTCCTGCAATTGCACCCAAAGATGGCAAGGGTCTTCCAAGGTCCTCGCCCCTGGCTGCGCACGCTTTGTCAGCTCTGCTGGGTCGAGGTTCGGAACTGTCCTCGGGCATTTCAGTGTGAGTTCAGTGACCGACGAGCAAAAGAACCCAGTAGCTATTTGATCCATACAGGACGTCTTGCGTCGCGTTAAGAGCTTGACCGCAACCAGACCTTGCACTGAGGGTGGCTTCGGACAACGCTCACCTCCTGTAGCTCTGCGAACGTAGAAATGGCAGTGAATTTCATGTGAGGGCCATAGGATGCCATAGGATGCCATAGGATGCCATAGGATGCCATAGGATGCCATTGGCCTCAAGTGAAAATTGCCATAGGCATTTACCTTGCCTCGCCAAGGCTCAAATAGGAAAGCAAGAAGTCTTTCACGCGCAGGACGAAGGATTTCAGAATGGTTGCACGGAATGGTTCCACACAAACACCTATCCTCCAGGGAGCTGGAATGGACTTGGAACCTGAGCTGCAAAATGCCGAAACACTTCCCTTTCTGCATGTTGGAGTCTGTTAATTAGAGCAATTGTATCACGTGGCACCATGCTGGAACGCAGGTGCCTTTTGTGTGGCATTTTGGCCGAGCAGTGCGTGAAAGCACAATAAGAACTTTCTTGAAAGCTATTGACTATTGCCATGTCTGGGCATCTAGATATTGCCGCACCCTATCAGATCCTTCTGTGAGCACATCCAGGAGTCTTTTGCAAAATTCAAATTATACATAATCATCATAAAATAATATCTGTTTATATAGTTGTCTTATGTACTAAAAAATCATAATATGATTATATAATATTATATACCAATATATACCATATGACCATAGTATCATATCCGCCAAGTTTGGAAAAGCGCACGTACTGCACACCTCACATCGCGTCACCTCAGCCCAGGCACCTTTGCGGCCCCATGGGGATTGCCGAGCTTCGGCTTCCGACATCTGATTCGGCTTCAGCTTGGCAGCACCTGAGACGCTTCGTGCCTTTTAAATCTAATATATATATATATATATATGTTCCTTTAATGTCGTTTATTCTTTGTACCTTTTTCATCCTTTTTCCGTGTAAAACAGTGGCATACAATCCCAAGCCCTTGCAAGCTCAGGGCTCAGGGATAGCTCGGGGCTTCATGGCTTGAAATGTCTTGAAGATGCAAATTGCATTTCCTGGACCGTCCTTGCATGTTATCCTATCAAAGGGGCCCAAAACAAGGCCAAAAACAAAGCAAAACGGTTGCTAGGGACCAAACATGTCGCCTGATTTCCACTATGTGAATGCATGTGAATGCAATCAGTTTGAAACCCTGAATCTCCATCCAATTGCCCAGCAAGTTGCGCAGCTGCAGAACAGGCCTTGCCAGTCCAGCTTTCTTTTGCTTCTCCCGGCCTAGGAATTGCCGTCAACGAGCAAAAGACAGCTAGAAGGCTAGAAACGAAAACCAGATATACGCAAAGAACATCAAAGAACTGAAGGCAAAAACTAAACTGACCATACATCGAAAATAATGATGGCATTATGATGGCAGGAACTAGTCCAGCCACAGCTCCCTGACAAGGCGGCTGCCTTGAAATGGTCTCTCAGTCTCTGAGTGTTTTTTTGCACGCAGCAGCTGTCTTTACCGGGCACAGAGGCCACGAAGGGTACTTCAGAAGTTCCTTCAGAAGTTCCTCCGTGCCGAGCTTGTCACTTTGGGTTCACCTTGGGTTCACCGCCAATCGAAACTGCTCCATGGACCTCTGGGATTGGGCATTCGCCCACCCGGGCCGGAGCCAAGCTCCCGAATTGAATTGCGCCCGTGCCACTTGCAAGCTTCTTCAGCGAAGACTGCGAAGACTTGCTGATCTGGCTGTGAAGGGACTCACGCCCCTGCTGTGATAGGAATGGAATACTGCGCGTCTCCTTGCTTACATCCACAATGTCATAATACTACTTGAGAGGGGGAACACGAAAGGTAGGTAAGCAAGAAAGGAACCGAAGAAAAAATGAAGGGGAGAGGGCAGGGAAAAAAACATAAAGTGGAGTCTAGTAAAAGCGACGCGGCCAGTTTCTTTCCAAAAATATGAAGGGGAGTCTGGTAAAAGCGACTGAAAGGCTTCGGCGATGTGGTTGGGGTTGGTGGCGGTTGTGGGGTTGGTGGTGTTGGTGGTGCTGGTGGTGTTGGTGTTGTTGGTGTTGTTGGTATTGGTGTTGTTGGTGTTGTTGGTGGTGGTAGTGTTTCTGGTGTTGTTAGTGTTGTTAGTGTTGTTGGTGTGGTTGGGTTTGTTGGTGGTGTTGGTGTTGTTGCTGCTGCTGAAAAATGGTGTTGTTGGTGTTGTTGCTTTGTTTGTTGTTTGCTGGCTGCTGCTGATGGTGTTGTTTGGTTGTTTTTGTTTGATGTTTTGTTGTTGTTGTTTACTTGTTGTGTGTTTTGTGTGTTATGGTGTGTTGTTGTGTGTTGTGGTGCGGTTGTGTGTGTGTTGTGTGTTTTGTGTGTTGTTGTGTGTTGTTGTGTGTTTGCTTGTGGTAGTGTTTTGTTGTGTGTTGTGGTGTCGTTGTTGTGTGTGTTTTGTTGTTCGTTCGGTTTGTGTGTGGTGGTTTGGATTCTTGTGTTGTTGTGTGTCTGTTGTGTGTTCGTTCGTGTGGTTGTGGTTGTGTCCTTGATTTTTGTGTATGCCCCTTGTGTGTGCGTCGTGTTGTTTGTGTGTTGTTGTGCTGTTTTAGGTGTGTATGCTTGTGTGTTTTCTGTGTGTTGATGTTTGTTGTTGTGTGCACTCGTTGTCGTGATAGTTGCTTGTGTCGTTGCTTGTAGTGTGGTTTGTGGTGTCTTTGTTTCCCTCTGTGATGGTTTGGTTGTGTGTGTTGTGTGTGTTGCGTGTGTTGCGTGTGTTGTGTGTGTGTGTTGTGTGTGTGTTGTGTGTGTTGTATGTGTGTTGTGTGTGTGTTGTGTGTGTTGTGTGTTGTGTGTTGTGTGTGTGTTGTGTCTGTTGTGTGTTGTGTGTTGTGTGTTGTGTGTTGTGTGTGTGTTGTGTGTGTGTGTTGTGTGTGTTGTGTGTGTTTTGTGTGTTTTGTGTGTTGTGTGATGTGCGTTGTGCGTTGTGCGTTGTGCGTTGTGCTTTGTGCGTTGTGCGTTGTGTGTTGGTGTTGTTGTTGTTGTTGTTGTTGTGGTTGTTGTGGTTGTTGTGTGTTGTTGTGTGTTGTGGTGTGTTGTTGTGCGTTGTGGTGTGTTGTTATGTGTTGTTGTGTGTTGTGTTGGCGATGTCTTTGCCGTTTGATTGTGTTGGATGATTTTAGTGTCGTGTGTGGTCTCTGTGACATGTTGACTGGTGGTTTGTTTGTGTGCTGTTCGTGGTGGCCACCGGCGCCTGTAGCTGTCATAACGATTCGATCGTGTTGTGTGTTGTGTGTTGTGTGTTGTGTGTGTGTTGTGTGTGTTGTGTGTGTTTTGTGTGTTTTGTGTGTTGTGTGATGTGCGTTGTGCGTTGTGCGTTGTGCGTTGTGCTTTGTGCGTTGTGCGTTGTGTGTTGGTGTTGTTGTTGTTGTTGTTGTTGTGGTTGTTGTGGTTGTTGTGTGTTGTTGTGTGTTGTGGTGTGTTGTTGTGCGTTGTGGTGTGTTGTTATGTGTTGTTGTGTGTTGTGTGTGTTGTGTGTGTTGTGTGTGTTGTGTGTGTTGTGTGTGTTGTGTGTGTGTGTATTGTGTGTGTTGTGTGTGTTCTGTGTGTTCTGTGTGTGTGTGTTGTGTGTGTGTTGCGTGTGTTGCGTGTGTTGTGTGTGTTGTGTGTGTGTGTGTTGTATGTGTGTTGTGTGTGTGTGTGTGTTGTGTGTGTTGTGTGTTGTGTGTTGTGTGTGTGTTGTGTGTGTTGTGTGTGTTGTGTGTGTTTTGTGTGTTTTGTGTGTTGTGTGATGTGCGTTGTGCGTTGTGTGTGCGTTGTGTTGTTGTTGTTGTTGTTGTTGTTGTTGTTGTTGTGGTTGTTGTTGTTGTTGTTGTTTTTGTTGTCGTCGTCGTCGTTGTTGTTGCTGTTGCTGTTGCTGTTGGTGTTGTTCTTGTCGGTGTTGGTGTTACCCCTGCAGCGTTTTTGCTCGGTTCCGTAGTGGCCGAAAATCGTCAAATCGGTGGTGTTTTCGCGTGTTTTTGCATCGCTCGGAGCAAAAAACACCGTAAATACCAATGTTTTTGGCGGGTCGGAAGCCCAAAACCACGGTATTTACGATGTTTTTTGCCTCTGGTAGTAAAAAGCACGGTATTTACAGTGTTTTTTGGCCAGCACCTAGCAAAAACACTGGTATTTACGGAGGTTTCACCATGTAGCAAAATGTGGTTTCTTGATCCGAAAAGAACAAAAATACTGTAAATTACAGTATTTTGAGTCTGCTCTTAGGGTGCGTGGGAGGTGTGGAGGAGGGGGGGGGGTACTAAAATGACTAGCAATCTCCTGAAGAATCAGGTAACGGGGCTGGCCGCCCTCCCCTTTACTTCGTAAAGTAAAACTCAAGGTAGCCCCTCTGGAGCTACCTTTCGTGATATAATTCTTTATCATTTTTAGGAAGTTCTTGATCATAAGATTGCTGTGAATTTGCAATTTGGAGTCCTTCTGATCTACAATGACACTTTTTCAAGGAGCAAATGGATGCAAATGGGTCAATGGCACGGATGCTAAGTCTGCTAAGTGAAGCAAAACAACGGGCCAAACGCTCACATGTCCAGCAGGTCTACGCTGCCTGCAGGCGCTGCAGGCGCTGATGTCGGCGCTGGTGATGTCGGGGCAGGACCAAGGTCCAACAAATCACCTCCAGGGACTCCAGCTGCATATCCATTGGCCTTCGCCTCAATGGGGAGAACTGGGAGAACGGTCCATGTGTGACAAAGATAGACAAAGCAGTGTGAAAAAAAGGATCGAAGTATAGCATTTTTTTTTAAAAAAAAAAGAGTAATCAGTAAACATGTGAGATCCCTAAAGCAAAACATAGAAAAACAATGAAAAACATCAGCCAATAGATTCAAATAGTGCAATCATTTCAGCTGCGTCTGAAAGACTAAAAAAAACATTCAAAAACATTAGGAATCAACACTAACAGTAACACAGCAAACATCTGCTTCAAAGCCGCTTCTTGCTCACGCATTCTCTTCATCTCCTGCACGAAGATTGGCCTGAATTGATCTCGCAAGCGGGGCATGTTCCGAGTGTACCAGTCGTCACTGTACTCCTGGCAGCGCCAAAGACTCAAAGTGACTTGATGTGTTCAGTGCCAGAGTTTGTCAACTGCCTCGGTACTTCAAGAATCTTGTAGGCACTCCTTCCAGTGGGGCCAATACAGTATATAATATAGTCCTCTTGAATCCTCTTGACATGTCTTGACTGCCGAATATTGAAATCAATGAAAACAACCCTGATCAACCAAAGCAATCCGAATCCTTGTGGAAGTCCCGTATCCACTGCCACATAGCTCTCTGCTCAACCTCCGGAGAAGGAGGGGGTCCTTCAGGGTTCGCGGGTAAATTCAAGCAGTTGTTTCATGATGTTTCAACAATCAACAATTCTTTTCAAACGGATATGGTACAGTCAGTATATATATAATTATATATATATCAATTGGATTCAATTGGTCTCACGCTATTCTCCCATTCTCTCCATCTCCGTCCCCGTCCTGAGATACCATGATCTATGAGCCATTGCTCGAGGTCCTTTCGCATCACGTCATTGCAATCCTTCTGAGACTCCGTCGTGGGACAAGCGACACCTGCACCCTGCAAAATGCCTCGTTTGTCATCGGTGCCTGGCGCAGCAATATGTAACGTCACGACGTATTCTTGGTATATAATGTAATGTAATGTAATGTAATGTAATGTAATAATATATAATATAAAATATACTAATATACACAAAGTGGATACATGTTGGCATCATGTGTGTATTAAGGAGGACACTTTTGAAACAAACGCGATGGAGTTGTCGCTGCGGATGCCCTCTGGTAAATTAACATAAACCCTGAAGGTCAACAATTTTTACGTGGAAACTAATCTTCCAACTCCTATTTGGTAGGGTCTATGTTAATTATTGTTAATTTACTGGAGGGTATGTCAAAAAAAGCAGAATGGAGCAACAGCATGCAACTGCAACAGCAAGTGTTAGCGATCACAAGCCTTTGGACATTTACGGTCTTGTCAGTCTTGTCATGTCTTGTCTATTCTTGCCTAGTTTCTGAGCTATGAACCCATATCATATACTGGCCACAAGTCGCAAACCAGCCAACACTTTTCTTAAAAGCCAACAGTCATTTCGGCTTTTCTTCTGTTCATTTCTGTTCACATTGTTTCATATAGCCGCTTTCCCAGCTTTCCATAGCTTTCCACGAATTTCCTAGTTTTCTTGCCTTGGCTCAGCTGCTCGCGAGTATTTCGCTTGTTGAGGTCAAGCCGCACAGGCAAAGGCGTCTTTCGATAAGTCGAGTCGGACATTTACCCGGCCAGGCTATGCCAAGCTGCTCATGGCAAAGCCAAGCGAGCTTCGATCCAAAATGACGCAAAATGACACGACAATCCAACGCACATGGGAAAAATGATGAAAATTGTTGCTGTAATTTGCTGAATGTTGCTGTTGAATAATGATGAATCATTTTGATGAAGTGAGTTATATAGAAGCGACCACTGAAGAGAACATAAGAGAACTCGTGAGAACTCTCTGTTGTATTATTTCTTGGGGCTCTCAGTGCGTGGCTCATTTGCTCGTCAAAGAGCATGAAGGTTCGAAGCTCTGGGCCATCCTGCACGATATGCTGCACATGATCTACCATCGAGCTGCAACAAACAGATCCAAACAGATCCAAACAGATCCAAACAGGATCACACAGACTAGCAGGCTGTACTGTACTTGAATGAGGGCTGCAATTTTTTTGGGGATTTTTTTCCCGTTTTTTGGGGTTTGATGGTTTTGATTGGTATTTGCAGCGTTTTGCAGCTAAGCTCTCTGATTTGCATGGTGTTGTTGTTGTTGTTGTTGTGGTTGGATGGGTGGATGGATGGATGGATGGATGGATGGTTGGTTGGTTGGTTGGTGCGGTTTCGTTTGTGCTCTTGCTTGCACTTATGATCTATGTTTGCTTGTGTGCTAACAGTTCCGAACGGCGCTTCTTCAGCCCACAGTGCTGGTATGAGTCTGGTTGCATCGCGTCGAAATAGTTCGTGTGAATGGCAAATGTGACCACAAGCACATACAAATAAAGTCTCACGGGTGGCAACAGGTATGGAAACAACGTGCCGGTGGAGACACGTATCAAAAAAAAAATATAAATGCATCAAAAAAAATATCCAGCACGCATCAAAAAAAAATATGTGCATCAAAAAAAAATATCCAGGTGCCACTGTGTGAGACCTCACGGGTTTCGTGCTGCAAACCTAGATCAAAAAAAAATAGTAGTAGTGGTAGTAGTAATAGTAGTAGTAGTAGTCGTAGTAGTAGTAGTAGTCGTCGTAGTAGTAGTCGTAGTAGTAGTAGTAGTAGGAGTAGGAGTAGTAGTAGTAGTAGTAGTCGTAGTAGTAGTAGTAGTAGTCGTAGTAGTAGTCGTAGTAGTAGTAGTAGGAGTAGGAGTAGTAGTAGTAGTAGCAGTAGTAGCAGTAGTAGCAGTAGCAGCAGTAGTAGCAGTAGCAGCAGCAGCAGCAGTCGTAGTCGTAGTCGTAGTCGTAGTCGTAGTCGTAGTAGCAGTAGTAGTAGTCGTCGTCGTCGTCGTCGTCGTCCTCGTCCTCGTCCTCGTCGTAGTAGTAGCAGCAGCAGCAGGAGCAGCAGCCAGCAGCAGCAGCAGTAGCAGTAGCAGTAGTAGCAGTAGTAGCAGTAGTAGCAGTAGCAGTAGCAGTAGCAGTAGCAGCAGCAGCAGCAGTAGCAGTAGCAGTAGCAGTAGCAAGAGAGAAGCACATAGGCACAAGTCTCAATGGATATATTGCAAGTAAGAACGAGAAGATCAAGAAAGAAGCACATAGGCACAAGTCTCGATGGATATCAACAAACATGAAATTAACCCAAATAAACGATGATGCTTATGCAAAAAGAAAGGAATAGTAGGTAGCAAGGGGAACCGGTTTAAAAATAAAAGCGGGTGGGGGGGTGCAGGGGGGAGGGCGCAGCGCCTCCCCCCGCAATGCGTACCAAGAGAGAAGCACATAGGCACAAGTCTCAATGGATATATTGCAAGTAAGAACGAGAAGATCAAGAAAGAAGCACATAGGCACAAGTCTCGATGGATATCAACAAACATGAAATTAACCCAAATAAACGATGATGCTTATGCAAAAAGAAAGGAATAGTAGGTAGCAAGGGGAACCGGTTTAAAAATAAAAGCGGGTGGGGGGGTGCAGGGGGGAGGGCGCAGCACCTCCCCCCGCAATGCGTACCAAGAGAGAAGCACATAGGCACAAGTCTCAATGGATATATTGCAAGTAAGAACGAGAAGATCAAGAAAGAAGCACATAGGCACAAGTCTCGATGGATATTTTGAAAGAAGAAGAAAGAGAAAATGAACCCTAAGAAACGATGCTTATGAGCAAAAGGCAAGAGAGTAGGTAGCAAGGGAAGCCGATGAAAAAACAAAAGCGGGTGGGGGGGCCCCCTGCAATGCGTACCAAGAAAGAACATGAAAGAAGTACATAGGCACAAGTCGCGATGGAGATCAATGAAGATGAAATGAACGCAAATAACCGATGATGCTTCTGAAAAAGGAATCAGAGTAGGTAGCAAGGGGAGCCGGTTAAAACAAGTACATCTAAGAAAAGTCATTTTTTGGTTTAAAACAAAATGTGAGCGCATGGTTCATCTATGTTTTGGTATGCTTTGGTCACACATCTATGTGGCTCTGACTTGCATCTCACCTCAGTATTTCTGCGACGGGTTCCGAACGAGGCGAAAAACGATGCCAAAACGAGGCCCGGACAAGGCCAGAAAATAGTTTTGGAAACCCCTCAGCTCTAGCAGCTCAGCAGCACTTTGCACGCTGCCCGTGGTGGCTGCAAGCTGCAAGTGTTGACTGCACACATGGTCCTTCCTTCCTTCCTTCCTTCCTTCTTTCCTTCCTTCCTTCCCTTCGTTCCCCCCTTGCATCCTTCCCTCCTTCCCTCCTTCCCTCCTTCCCTCCTTTCCTCCTTCCCTCCTTTCCTTCCCTCCTTTCCTCCTTTCCTCCTTCCCTCCTTTCCTCCTTCCCTCCTTCCTTCCTTCCTTCCCTCCTTCCCTCCTTCCTCCTTCCTTCCCTCCTTTCCTCCTTCCCTCCTTCCCTCCTTCCCTCCTTTCCTCCTTCCCTCCTTCCCTCCTTATTTCCTTCCTTCCTTCCTTCCTTCCTTCCTGCCTGCCTGCCTGCCTGCCTGCCTTCCTGCCTTCCTTCCTTCCTTCCTTCCTTCCTTCCTTCTTCGCACCTTCCTTCCACCAGAAAACGGGAAAAAAATCCCAAAAAAAAAGGAAAAAAATTCCCAAAAAAATAGCCCTCCCTTGAATGATCGATGAGTTCCAAAAATTCAAAGACTCGTGCAGCTCCACATGGCTCTGAATATCTCTGAATGGTTCTCCACCAAGGCCTTCGGTGCAGCGGAGAAGACCGCGCTCGCCTCTTGCACCTTCAAGCTTTGCGGCTTTGCGGTGCCCAGGACATGCTAAGAATTGCTAAGAGGTGCTCGTCCACTGTCCACATCTGTCCACTGTCCACGTTTATTTCAACACCAGTGTTGGTGTCTGTTGGTGTTGCTACTCAAAGGGATCCATTGATGCTATTACATTGTAAATGTATGTTAAATAATGTGAATACAAATAAATAATGATAAATATAGCCTCCGGTCGCCCATCTGTTTTGAAACCAGCTCCATATCCTCTGATTGGCGAACGCAGCAAGACCACAGGCTTGACGGGCAAATGGAAGTTCAAATGAGGCCATTTGAGGCCATCAGAGGAACACAAATCGCAAACTTGAAATTACATGAAATTACAGTACGTAGTTGAAAAATTGATTAAAAAAAATTCTTGCCACAGTGCCTGCAAGCCAAGAGCTGGATGCTTGTACATCCTTGGATAAAAACATGGCTGACCAACACGGAGGGCGCCTTGTTGGAAGATACTCAAGGTGATGCATTAGATTAATCAGATTAATTAAGCAAACACTGCAGCTGCAGCAAGAGCACATTGACTGTAGAGCTACTCAGCTGGATTTAGCTAATATATGTGCGAATGTGCACATGGACCTTTAGCACGAAACTCAGCAGCACAGTTGGAGTGTTCCTGTTGCAACCAAAAAGCGTATCACCGACCGGAAGCGCAACTACAACCAGTGGAGGCGCCAAGCAAGACCACAACCTGACACTGCTCTACTACTTGTGATGCACCATGAAATCCTTCAGAAGACACAAAAAGAGCCCAGACAGCATAATTTCTGAAGATGCTGTAAGCAGCATCAATCACTCAGAAACATTGGGAAGTTCACAGGGTCAGGGGTGTGGCTCTTGCAGACAGGACTCAAGTGGTGGAACATCAAGTCTTGAAATTCCAGAAGGAAAATCACAACTGACAGAGTACTGACAGAGTACTGACAGAGTACTGACAGAGTACTGACAGAGTACTGACAGTCTGTCTGACAGTACTGCTATTTCTTTGTCGAGACACCGGTAAGGTGCCCCACGAGCACCAAGGCTTTGGAACCACAAGGCTCCCAGTCGCAGCATAGCTCGTCGCCGTCCATTTGGCCCAGGAGGGTAAAGCAAATCGAAGTAGAACTTGCCTCATAGTTGCATTATTGCAACACTAATAGTTACTAAAGATCAAGAGACATCAAGAGACATCAAGACTGATAAAGTCCCAAAGCACACAAACCTTTTTGCAACCTTGAATCATTGTCACCAAACATGTACTTTGTTACTTAATTGTGCTTAGCAAACACTGTAAGGAAGGATCTGAAAGGTGAATAAAGATTGAATAAAGCATGATGCGAACAGAAAATTACATTACTAGTATCTGCAAGGAGAATCAACTCATCCAGAGCGTGGATCCAGCTTGTGAAGGCAGAACTGAACCTTGAACCTACTTGTAACTACCTTGCACTTTGAACACTGGACAACACTTCATGTTATAACCCATTTTAACATATAATTTTAGGTCAACGCAAGTTTGGCGCCCAAGCAGCGTAACGTGAAATGAATCTGCATGAATTCCTTCGCACCACTGATGTCCAGCTTATCTTTGGGTTTCTTCTCCTTACTGAAGAACCCAAATCGGCGATCCTGGCGGCCAATAGGCTACAAGATGCTACAAGCATGCATGACTATGACAAGATATGACAAGCAAGGCCAAAACATGCCAAAACACATCGAAACAATATTCGTCTGAAGCAGCGACGCAAACATTTTGTTGAAACATTGGGCAGGTCCTTCTTGGCTGTCTCAGGCTTGTCAGCTGGTGCGGCAAGCGAAAGAGAAGCCTGGACAGAATATTCGAAATGGTTTCGAAAGGCAGTCGAAATGTCGCGGGCGTTGTGCCAAACAATGAACGTTCAAACATTAAGTTTAACAATGATTTATAAACATGTTCAAACGGGCCAAACCAGTTTGCCGGACTGTGGCCTCTTGGACTGGGATGCGTGGCTGGATCTTTATATCTGGCATCACCTGCGCAAAGCATCTCTAAGGTGAACCTTTTTGAGCAGGTGAAGCAGGAAGAAACCAATGAGAAAAACGAGTAGCGTAGAACATGGATGAGCATAGCATAGCTCTGCATGGCTATAATGTATATATATATATATAATTAAATGTGGATGATCCCTACAAGTTAGCGGGGGGCCCAACCCCCCCCCTCTCGTACATTTCCAAGTCACCAATGGAGGCTACCGCGGATATCCATATATTAGGATGTCTGGCCTTCTCTTGGTATGCCTGTCTTTCGGGGTCTCTGCCTGCGTCTTTATATGCATCCACTTCTTTCTTTCGCAACGATGTGCAACGATGCGTCTACCTATCTGATAAAATATCTGGCTGTTCGTTGTGCATGTTTGCCCGAGGTGTTCATTCCTGATCTCCAGGTTCCCGATGGGGGCAGTATGAGCATGCATGACATCGCATGAAGTGACTGATGATCCGCAGTTTTGAAAATCACATCCAACAGCCTCTTCCAGTCTTGGATAGTCTGAGTGTTTGTGCTTTAGTGTGCATGTCTCAAGGGGCATGCTTCGGAGCATGTTTGTCTTCCATGCTTGTCTTCCCTGCAGGTTCAACGATTTAAGATTCAACCTGAGGTATCTGGAGGTGACAGTTAGCAAAGTCTACAAAATGATGCAGACTGTCTGAAGTCTGTCTGAAGTCCGTCTGAAGTCTATCTGAAGTCTGTATGAATTGCAAATGGGCATGCTTTCTGTATATCTATGTATATCTATCTGTCTATCTATCTATCTATCTGTCTATCTCTCTATCTGTCTATCTATCTATCTATCTGTCTATCTGTCTATCTATCTATCTATCTATCTATCTCTCTATCTGTCTATCTGTCTATCCATCTATCTATCCATCTGTCTATCTGTCTATCTATCTATCTGTCTATCTGTCTATCTGTCTATCTGTCTATCTGTCTATCTGTCTATCTATCCATCTATCTATCTGTCTATCTGTCTATCTGTCTATCTGTCTACCTATCTATCTATCTATCTGTCTATCTATCTGTCTATCTGTCTATCTGTCTATCGGTCTATCTTTCTATCTGTCTATCTGTCTATCTGCCTATATATCTATCTATCTATCTATCTGTCTGTCTGTCTGTCTGTCTGTCTATCTGTCTGTCTGTCTATCTATCTATCTGTCTATCTGTCTATCTGTCTATCTATCTATCTATCTATATGTCTATCTATCTATCTATCTATCTATCTATCTATCTGTCTATCTATCTATCTGTCCATCTGTCTATCTATCTATCTATCTGTCTGTTTATCTATCTATCTATCTGTCTATCTGTCTATCTATCTATCTATCTGTCTATCTGTCTATCTATCTATCTGTCTATCTCTCTATCTATCTATCTGTCTATCTATCTATCTATCTGTCTATCTGTCTATTTGTCTATCTGTCTATCTATCTATCTGTCTATCTGTCTATCTATCTATCTGTCTATCTGTCTATCTATCTATCTGTCTATCTGTCTATCTGTCTATCTATCTGTCTATCTGTCTATCTGTCTATCTGTCTATCTATCTATCTATCTATCTATCGTCTATCTATCTCTCTCTCTCTATATCATTCTATATCATACTCTGAAAGCCACACCTCGATGGCTTCAGAATTGTACTGAGCGCTGTCTTTGCTGTCATTCATCTCCTCATTTTCGGACTCGTCGTCGATGATGTCTGAGTCACCTGCTTTTCAGACTCAAAGTCTCAACCGTGAATTCCATGTAATTAAGTCGATGATACTGTGGCTATTTGCAAGCCGGCCAATCCTGAGCCTTATTATGTACAAGTCTACCATGATATACCAAGAATCCAGAATGCTTCCAGATTTGACATGATTTGACCCTGACTGATCCTCTCCCCTGTCCAAACGAACTCCACAAAGTGATTCCACAAAGGTTCTGCGAGTCTCGTGCAGCCATCCTCTTCTGACACAATTCAACATGTCCAATGAAGGACGCCTCCGTGGCTACAGTACGAGCACTTTGAATAACTATACTACAATGCAACAGGCCCCCTGCCTTCTTCATCATCCTGAGAGACTGGCATCTGCCCCCTTCAGAGCCCATACTGATACTGCAATAATCGGGGAAACGTATGTATAATATATATATATATAGATTGTATATATATATAATATATCTCAATTTATAGCTTCATGTGTGTGAGATGCCAGAAGCAATGCGTGGCAAAGGGTGCCAAAGGATTCTTTACACAACAACACTCTTGGCTGGAACGGAATCTTACTTTTATAATATTTTGTAATCTTTTGTATCATGTTGCATGCATCTGTTCTTGATTCTGCAATTTTGAAACTTGATGGAACTGGTTGATAACAATTTAGACTGCATATACGCCGCCGAAACGTGACCACACATGACCACACCCACCGGTGACGACTGTAAAGCACCCCCTTGCAGATTCGGAGGTCAGAATCATGGAGGACATGGAAAAGCATGATACAGATAGCACTTCTGGTGATAATCCTACTGCCATCTTTCCAAGAGAATCAATATGAATCAATACCCCAAACATTGCAGCCTTTCAATATACAGACAGTATACGGATGCAAAAGAAACATGTCCGTATACTGCCACTGAGGGAACCGGGCGTTTCACAATTATACTATGTCCATCATCCATTTTGAGAAGCCAATTCAGTTGAAACAGACCCTGGCAAGTTAACTTTGTTGGGCAAAGCTGCCTTTCCCTTCTTCCAAGAGCTCAACGAATATAACATAATATAACGCTAAATCCATGGAACTTCACCTTCTGACAGATGCAAGGGATCTACGCAGCATACACCAGTCACCAGGAATGATGACGACGGCATTGAAGACTAAGACTTGTTTTATTTCATTTCCGAATTTCATAATCCTGCAGACCATTGGAGATATTGGAGATGGAAACCCGCGCCTGATCTTCCTCCTGTGCCTCTGCCAAATCTTCCGTGGTCTTCTTTCGGCAGTTGCAGCAGTTCCGAAGCCTCAAAAGAGCGCTGCTATGCGCTGCTGGCACTTGAAGATGTCAAGAGAATATGCCAAGGGGCACCAAGAAGCAAAGCAGGTTAAAGATGGTTAAAGTATAGCAAGCCGTTGCATCGAGGAAGAAGAACATGCTAATGCAATGGTCAATCTCTGCAACAATTCAAATATGTTTAGACATTGTTTCATGCCGAGAGGCCCTTTTCTCTTGAAGTAAGACTCCTTCTTCCTCCTGCGGCATTCATTCGCTCTCAGTCAGATGCTCTCTCTCAGCATAAGCACTATCTGGTTCACCGTGG